TTAAGCACTAGAATATTTGTGCAAAGTTTCAATCCATTTGGATAAACCCTCGAAGAAAAAAGTGAGAAAATTGATTTTGACTAGGGTCGCCCCTAGTCCAAAATTGAAAATGTATTTCCTACTTGGTTCTTAGCTCAAAAAAATTTTAACATGTTTTATTTGTTTTTGTTTTAAGCACTAGCATATTTATGCAAAGTTTCAATCCATTTGGATAAACCCTCGAAGAAAAAAGTGAGAAAATTGATTTTGACTAGGGTCGCCTCTAGTACAAAATTGAAAATGTAATTCCTACTTGGTTCTTTGCTCAAAAAACTTTTAAGATGTTCTATTTATATTTGTTTTAAGCATTTGTATATGTGTGCAAAGTTTCAATACATTTGGATAAACCCTCGAAGAAAAAAGTGAGAAAATTGATTTTGACTAGGGTCGCCTCTAGTACAAAATTGAAAATGTAATTCCTACTTGGTTCTTTGCTCAAAAAACTTTTAAGATGTTCTATTTATATTTGTTTTAAGCATTTGTATATGTGTGCAAAGTTTCAATACATTTGGATAAATTCTCGAAGAAAAAGGTGACAAAATTGATTTTGACTAGGGTCGCCCCTAGTCCAAAATTGAAAATGTATTTCCTACTTGGTTCTTTGCTCAAAAAAAATTTATGATGTTTTATTTGTTTTTGTTTTAAGCACTAGCATATTTATGCAAAGTTTCAATCCATTTGGATAAACCCTCGACGAAAAAAGTGAGAAAATTGATTTTGACTAGGGTCGCCTCTAGTACAAAATTGAAAATGTATTTCCTTCTTGGTTCTTTGCTCAAAAAAATTTTATGATGTCTTATTAGTATTTGTTTTAAGCACTAGAATATTTGTGCAAAGTTTCAATCCATTTGGATAAACCCTCGAAGAAAAAAGTGAGAAAATTGATTTTGACTAGGGTCGCCTCTAGTACAAAATTGAAAATGTATTTCCTTCTTGGTTCTTTGCTCAAAAAAATTTTATGATGTCTTATTAGTATTTGTTTTAAGCACTAGAATATTTGTGCAAAGTTTCAATCCATTTGGATAAACCCTCGACGAAAAAAGTGAGAAAATTGATTTTGACTAGAGTCGCCCCTAGTCCAAAATTGAAAATGTATTTCCTACTTGCATATTTATGCAAAGTTTCAATCCATTTATATAAACCCTCGAAGAAAAAAGTGAGAAAATTGATTTTGACTAGGGTCGCCTCTAGTACAAAATTGAAAATGTATTTCCTTCTTGGTTCTTTGCTCAAAAAAATTTTATGATGTTTTATTTGTATTTGTTTTAAGCATTTGAATATTTATGCAAAGTTTCAATCCATTTGGATAAATTCTCGAAGAAGAAAGTGACAAAATTGATTTTGACTAGAGTCGCCCCTAGTCCAAAATTGAAAATGTATTTCCTTCTTGGTTTTTTGCTCAAAAAAATTTTATGATGTCTTATTAGTATTTGTTTTAAGCACTAGAATATTTGTGCAAAGTTTCAATCCATTTGGATAAACCCTCGAAGAAAAAAGTGACAAAATTGATTTTGACTACGGTCGCCCCTAGTCCAAAATTGAAAATGTATTTCCTACTTGGTTCTTTGCTCAAAAAAATTTTAGGATGTTTTATTTGTATTTGTTTTAAGCACCAGAATATTTATGCAAAGTTTCAATCCATTTGGATAAACCCTCGACGAAAAAAGTGAGAAAATTGATTTTGACTAGAGTCGCCTCTAGTCCAAAATTGAAAATGTATTTCCTACTTGCATATTTATGCAAAGTTTCAATCCATTTATATAAACCCTCGAAGAAAAAAGTGAGAAAATTGATTTTGACTAGGGTCGCCTCTAGTACAAAATTGAAAATGTATTTCCTTCTTGGTTCTTTGCTCAAAAAAATTTTATGATGTTTTATTTGTATTTGTTTTAAGCATTTGAATATTTATGCAAAGTTTCAATCCATTTATATAAACCCTCGAAGAAATAAGTGACAAAATTGATTTTGACTAGGGTCGCCCCTAGTCCAAAATTGAAAATGTATTTCCTTCTTGGTTCTTTGCTCAAAAAAAATTTATGATGTTTTATTTGTTTTTGTTTTAAGCATTCGAATATTTATGCAAAGTTTCAATCCATTTGGATAAACCCTCGAAGAAAAAAGTGACAAAATTGATTTTGACTACGGTCGCCCCTAGTCCAAAATTGAAAATGTATTTCCTACTTGGTTCTTTGCTCAAAAAAATTTTAGGATGTTTTATTTGTATTTGTTTTAAGCACCAGAATATTTATGCAAAGTTTCAATCCATTTGGATAAACCTTCGAAGAAAAAAGTGACAAAATTGAAAATGTATTTTTTACTTGGTTCTTGGCTCAAAAAAAATTTTTTTATCCAAAGTTTAATTTAAAAAAAATCACAGTGAACTTTTAATTTGAAAAATTCGTAAGATAGGAAAGTTTTTTGCTTTTTCTGAAGCAACGGCTGTTCGTACCTTGCCTAAAAACAATACAGCTCTTCTATAGAGCAGCACGGATCAAATGTAAAAATACTAGAAGTCTCTACAATGTCTCGTTATTGTTTGCTTGTTTGCTTGTTTGCTTGCTTACGGAAAGCATATTTTGCGATTTTCTCAGCATTGCCCCAACCAATTTGAAATCTGTTTGTTTGCAAAAGATGTGAAATTCAAGGCACAAACTTTTCTTCTTGGACCTTTTATAACCAATGTTGCTTCGTTTTCTCACAAAATGCGAAAAACTGATTTTTCAATCTGAATAAAACCAATAGATTCACACTTGAAAAAGGTGTGAATATAAAAATAAATTTTTGAAAAATTTGTTTAAAATGAATATCTGTTGCAGAAAGGACTAATTCAGTTTTTTGCATTTTGTGAGAAAACGAAGCAACATTGGTCATAAAAGGTCACAGAAGAAAAGTTTGTGCCTGAAATTTTACATCATTTTCAAAAAACAGTTTCAAATTGGCATTGCTGAGAAAATCGCAAAATACGCTTTGGGGCCATTCACTTATTACGTTCGCATTTTAGGGGGGAGGGGGGTTTGAAAAATTGTAACCAAATGTAACATAGGGGGGGGGGGGTGTCAAGAAGTATGTAACGTTCAAACTGTCGACACCAAAAACATTATTTTAAATTTTCCACCTTTTTAATGATTTATAAATGTCCAGATCTCTTTTGATAGCTAAGCAATACATAGCCATTAGACAATTTATAAATGTCCAGATCTCTTTTGATAGCTAAGCAATACATAGTTTTTGTTATATAAAGTAACACATCAATAGAAAACTGGTTTACAAGACTTTAAAATATAATCATAATTTGTGGAAATTTTCAAAATTAAATCAATCATAAGTTTAAAAATAAATCTCTCTAAATCTGTCATTCATTTGATGATTAATATGATCCCATCATTGTGATATTTGCATTAAAAGTTGATTGAATTTTCCAAAATTCGATCGGGCATAATATTTTTGAATTTTCTTCAAAAAACAAAACATTGTGAGTTGTAACATATGTAACAAGGGGGGGGGGGGGGGTGAAAAAAGTCGTTTTCTTGAAGCAAACAAGCATACAAGTTAATCAGCAAGAAATCTCAATAACGAGACATCGTAGAGACTTCTAGTTTTTTACATTTGATCCGTGCTGCTCTATAGATGAGCTGTATAGTTTTCGGGCAAGGTAGGAACAGCCGTTGCTTCAGAAAAAGCAAAAAACTTTCCTTTCTTACGAATTTTTCAAAACGAAAGTTTACTGTGATTTTTATAATCCATCTTAGTGAAACAGGCCGTATACGTTTTGATTCATAACGCATAATTATGTTAAAATTAAACATTTAAAAATTCCTTTCTGCAGCAGATATTCATTTTAAACAAATTTTTCAAAAATTTATTTTTCATTATTTGAGACGCTCAATTCTCAATTGACATACTATTTGACAGCTTGTTACTTGATGGATAATTTTTTTAGCAAACTGAAATTACTTATATAATGTTGTCCAAATAAAATGCAATAAATTGATACCAAAAAGTCTTATATATGCAAAGTATTTATCAAGATATCCTCAATTTAATGTTCTGGACTGTGAGAAAATCGTCAATGAAAATAATTATCTATAATTTTTTTGCATAATATCAACTTTTACTATAATAAACTATGTATATTCTGAAATCTTATTAAAAATACTATATAAATCAGTTAAGTCTAAGTTAATTAAGATTGAATTAAATGACATATTTGCTTAAAAGTCATTAAAAATAGTAGCTATTTTGAATTTTAGAAAAATCGAGAAAACACGTGGTTTTGGTGGAAAATTTTTGAACGTAAATTAAGAAAATCGTCAAAACTTTAGATTTCCATCTTAAAAAGTTACCATATCATACTTATTAACACATTTTTTTGTCATTGAAAATTGTCCACACACTTTTGCACGTTATCGATTTTGAATATTTAACGTTTTTTTTTTCAAATTACTTAATTATAGTATAAAATTTGTTTTGCATATGAAATCTCATCAAAAATTAGATATGCTGTGAAAATTTGAAGTGATTTCGTTTAGTTGAAGATACTTTTTGAACGAAATTATTAAAAAAATTGTTCTGTCACTCACTTTTGCACGCTACTGTATGCTGGGCAAATCTTGGTCTATCCATAAAACTTTTGATGGTAAGGTGTGAATATAATCCGCATTGGGTTTCTACCCGATACACTAGTTAAAATACAGAATTTTATCCGATTTCTATCAAAACGATGCAGCTGGTCAGGTAATTTTTTAACGGCATCGTTTTATTTAAATAGCAATGGAGCCTCGCACAAATCCAGACACAATAAAGTGTTTACAGGATTCAATCGATAGCAAAAGAAGACAGATAATATAGGATGTGATTTACAAACTGGGCATAAAAGGGCGATTGCGAATGTGCACAAAAATCCAAAAAATCAACTGTCATTAAAAATTCAAAATTCTAAACACACAAGCATTTTTACATACAGTTCTTTCCCTTCACAAAAGCCGAAATTATTTTTCAAGTGCGTTCAAATCATTGAAAAAAACCAATAAAATTAATAGAAAAATACAGCAAAGTTTGGCTCTTCTCTTGCTAGGAGCGACTTATTATCTATTCCGGTATATCCTGAAGAAGAGTGGACGTAAAATGGACAAAAAATCTAATCAAATTTCTTTTGAAATGTGAGTATAGAATAAAATTTTTGTTTTCTTCTTTTTCCTTAATTTATGCATAATTATAGAGCCTTTAACAGTACCGACGATACACAGCATTGCTATGAGACGAACGGAGCTAATGTTACTGTTCAAGTTCCATCCAGAACAACAAATCAAGGAAGTTCAATGGTGAAATTGAAAAATATAATTGGATATAAATGGGAAAATAAAAACTATCCTGGGCATCTAGTTGCTGTACATAAAGATGGCAAGATTATAGCTTATTCGATTAAAGTTAATAATCAAGGAATGGTTAGACTTATTAATTTTGGAATGAATAATAAACGAGCATTGATAAGAGGATTTACATCGGAAGTTCTGGATCTTCAATTTGCAAACAGTAAGGAAGTAATAATAGGATGTATTGAAGAGACAGCATTGCATGTTTATAAATTACCATTTGATGATACTGAAGATACAATCAAGTGTGTTTTATTGGTCAAAATTGAAAATCCAATTAAAGATCATGTTCCATTATTGGATAAAATTAGCTTTTGTCCATATGTTCCCGAAGAGAATGACAAAGAAGATGACTTTTCGGTTCAATTGCTTGTGTGGGTGCGTGGAAATAAATTTGAATGCTATTCATTAAAGTCTATAATTGATACATATGGAAATGGCGTTCATAAGGTTGAGAATATTAAAGAAGGAATTGTTAGAAGTTGTGAAGACGACAGAGCATTAATTACATGCTGTACATTTTCACCTGATGGAACAACATTAGCAATTGGAAGTGATGACGGATATATACGATTTTATCAAATTTACTTCCATGAAACTGTACCTCGATGTCTACATTCATGGAGTCCACACGACGGTGCACCAATAAGCAATTTCTTCTTTCTTGATAATCACACACAACCAATTGCTGGAAGTAGCCTATGGAAATATGTAGTTACATTAGCAAAGAATAATACAGAAATTAAAGTTTCTAGCTGTGATTCATGGAAAACACTGCAAACGATTCAATTTAAATCAGCGACTGATAAACAATTATCATTAAAAGCTGAAATTGATCGTACTTCATCCTACCTCATACTTAATGACATGACTAATCGTCAACTTTATGTATTGCAAATATTAAAGGAAAATGCACTTAGTCAAAATGGTGATGAAATGAATGGAAATGATGCAGCAATTGCTCGTGTTTTTATTAAATCTATTGCTGAATTTCATCTAGCATCAACTGTTCTTAGTTATGGAATATCAAATGCATCAATTCGACGTTACAAGTGTGCACTAAGTGAAAATTACTTAATTGATGAGTTAGAAGATTTTGACGAGGAAAATAATTCCGTTTATTGTGTTGTCCTTAAACTATTCATGATTCTTCCCGAAAGCCTTCAAGAATGTCACATTTTGTATCAAACAGCACTTAATAAGAGTGCAGAAATCCTTAATACAGAAGTTTCATCGTCTTCATCATCGACAGCTACAAATTCTAAATCGCCAGCACTTCAGCTTCTAAATGTTTCCAATACAACTGCTGAAATTAAGAAGAATGACTTGGCATTAAGAACGCCACCACAAAAAGCATCGCAATTGAATTTACTTACACCAGATTCATTTAGTTCACCCGTTGAAAAGCCTAAGGAAGTCAGTCAAGAAGTTTTATCGACAATTTTCATGTTGGCCAAGAATAATCCAACATCGCCTGCTGTTGTGACTAATAAGCCACTTGATAATGTTCTGAATCTTGCAAATTGCTCAATAATTGAGGAAGAAAAGATATTCCAGCAAAAAATTGCTGTTGAGCCTCCAATTCAACTAAAATCAGTGTCGGGTGGTTCAAGTCCAAGTCGTGAAGTACGTGATATAATGCTACAAGCTGATTCACAAGACAATGAGGATTATTATCCACCAGAAGACGAGGAAGACGATGATATTGATGAACCAGAAGATAAAGCAGCTGTTTTAAGTGCTTTAAATGCACTGGATGTAACTCATTTTAAGAATATCGATGACGATGACGATGATGATGAGGTAATTTAATACTTATTTTGCTATATTTTTGAAAATTAATAAGCAATTAATTGATTCTAGGACGATGGAAACGAAGAGGATGACGAGGATGATGAGCCAGATATAAAAGTTGTAACAAAGAATCATGAATGGCCACAAGCACCACAATTCGTCGATTCATCAACACCAGCAACCTCTAAACAAATTGAAACATTATCAAATCGAATGAATCAAATGATCGGTAATTAACGTATTTTATTTATTTGAATTTTGAATATCTGTTAAAATTTGAATCCCAAAAAGCAGTTAAATTTATATGAATGTTGTTTTCTTTCATTTAGAAATCATGGAGCAACAATCTCGATATATTGCAGAACTACGCAATGAAATCTATTCCTTCAAGTCACAAAATAATGCAGAAGCATTACTGACACAAAAGAATATAGTAAAAGTTGAAGAAACCTGCAAAAAATCTGTTGAACAAAATTATGAAAAAGTTTCTGTTCTGCTCAGCAAGTAAGTACCTAATTAGCATATCAAATAAAGTCATTAATTAATAAATTATCTTTAGGGGCAAGTACGATCAACGTGAAATAACAGAATCACTCATGCAATTATTCAATCAACTGTTCCGTACACAAACGCAATCGCTAGAAACTGCAATAAAGGATAATATTAAGAACATTTGTGGACATAAGGCATTTATAGAAACCATAAGTTTATCCATTCTGGCTGGCATTCAAAAGTCGCTGGAGCAAATATTTAAGAAATCTTTAGAAGACATCATGATTCCATCATATGAAAAGATCACGAACGAAATGTTCCAGGAAATGGCAAAGGCATTCACAGCTGGAACCAAAGAATGTAAGATCCTATAATTTGTGACTTATTTATATCATTCATTTATAACTTAATCCACATAGACACAAGAGCATTCGACACATACATGAAACAATATGGAGCAGTTCAATTCCAAATGACTGAATTTTCTGGTGCCATTCACCAAATTCCACAGCAAGTGAAGCAAGAAGTCAAGATGCAAAATGAAGCAACATTAATTCCACTAGTAAATGCACGATTCTTTAATATCAAGCAGCAAATTGAAGCACTTCAAGCTAAGATTATTCATGATGTTAAGGAACAAGTTAAAAGTGAAATTCAAAGTGGATTTGAGTTACAAAAGTCATCATTGGAGGATTCAGTATTATCAGCAGTTACTCGTTCACAAGCTGAGACACCGGCACCAACAGTTTATGATCATCAGGAATCAATTCGACAGCACTTAAGTCACGGGCAAATCAACAAAGCATTTCATCAAGCACTCATCTCTAATGACTTATCACTCGTTGAATATACAATTGAGAAAGCTGATTTTAGTGTCGTTTTCAAGACTCCAAATTGTCAACTGGAACAGACTGTCTTGCTCTCACTTATTCAACAAATTACTGTTGACATGAGCAGATACAGTGAGCTCAAGAATCGGTAAGCTATGGTTTTACCGTTATTTTAAAACTTGAATAATTTTCTAGCAGTTTTGTTTTCAAATATTTATTCATCGTTATTTATTTAAATTTGATTTGTTCCTTATTTCTTCAAATTCATCCTTTTCAGCTATTTAAATGAAGCAATCATTAACTTAAACATGCACGATACAATTACCCGCGAACACGCACCGAAAATCTTAAGAGAACTCTATAATACATTCAACACGTTTATCTCAACAAATCCATCAAATCAGTTAAATTCAAGTATGAAAATGATCATGTTAGCAGCATCATCGATAGCAAATATGTGACCACGGCAGTCTATATCTGGAAATATCTTGAATTTATTTTAACTGAGACATCATAATATTATATATTTTGAAAGGATAAGATTTAAAACAATTAAACTTAAGGAGCTATGATTAATTTAATTTAATTCACAAGAAAGTAATGGGAAGAGATAGCTGAGACGAGAAAGCATTTTTAGACATTATTGCTATCTAGAATGTGAGTCATTTTTGATGAGAAATTTAAAATTACTAATAAAATTACAATTTTCAAGTTAATTAAGCTTTTTTTATTTCCAATTTTACATTTTTAAGAATTTTTTTCTTATTCTTATTCTTATTGATTGCCTTATTCTTAATTCCAGTGATTTGACTGCTGTCTTTTGACTGTTTCTTTTTGCAGGACAGTGGATTTGGACCTTTCCTCTTTTTAAGCTTCACTTTTGTCACTTTCTTGATCTCAACAATGCCTTCCTTCTTTTTCAATTGTACTAGCTGTTCACCTTCAAAACTTGATACATTTAATGATTTCTTTGATTTTCTATCTATGTAATTTCTTGTGGCTAATGACGGTTCCTCTAAAGTTGGAACAACATTGTGAAGATACAGTAAAGCAATTCCAATTTGTTTTCTAATCCATTCCTGAAGATCTCTGTCTTGTGTAGCAATTATATATCGATTATCCTTCACTAATGACTTGATGCATTCAGATCCAGTCAATGGATTCTTCTCATGTCCACATTTATTGAGTTGCATACTTTTGAGCTTTTTAGAAACTTGAATGAATTTGTGGCCTAATTTGTCTGTTTCCATGATCATGCATGGCGTTGTAAGCACTCTCAGTTCCATTTGAATGTAATTCTTTAGCTGCTCTTCAATCAATAGCTTGTTCTGGAATGTTAAAAAGTCGTAATCATTTAATTACAGCAGAAATATCTTCAAAATTCTACCTTTATTGCAGCAAAACAAAAAGTTCCATCGATAAGCACTTGAATTGGAGGATGATAGCCAAAGTTATTGATGAAGAAGTTGATCCTCTTACTAGCTTTCTTATATCTCGTCACTTTCATCTTTAATTTAGTTTATTGAACTTCCAATGCTGCTTAATTTTGTTATTGCTGAATGGTGCTGAACGACAAATATTCAAACACGAAAAGTCAGTTAAATAATGGCACAATAATTGATTTTTTAAATTTTTTATTTACATTAAATTTTGCCAGTTCTTCTCAGACAATTAAGAGAATTATTATGGATGTTGATGTCGAATAACTATAAAACGTGTCATCTAATTTAATTAATTTACTTTCTGTACCACATTTGGAGAGTTCTCATACGTTTAACTTTCTTTTGAAGCTGCAACACTCCGTACATTAAAGCCTCAGCTGTTGGTGGACATCCAGGAACATAAATATCAACAGGAATAATTCTGTCACATCCACGAACAACAGAATATGAATAATGATAATAACCACCTCCATTTGCACAAGATCCCATTGAAATGACCCATCTTGGTTCCGGCATTTGATCAAAAACCTTTCTTAAAGCTGGTGCCATTTTATTTGTAACAGTTCCAGCGACAATAATACAGTCAGCTTGACGTGGAGATGCACGGAAAACAACTCCATAACGATCCATATCATATCTAGGTGCTGCGATATGCATCATTTCTACGGCACAACAAGCTAAACCGAATGTCAATGGCCAAATTGAACCTTTGCGACCCCAATTGAGTAAATCATCAAGACGAGCTACTGTCCAATCTGCCCAATTTGATTGCTTCCTAAACACAACATTTTTATGGATGAAAAAGAAGAAAATAAAAGATCAGAAATAAAACATCCAGTAACTTAATTAAATGCTTACCATCCAAATGCTGATGCTGCCAACTTCTCAGGATTTGCTCTATCGACAACTGGCATTGTCTTCTGATCTCGTTTTTGGTTGTTTGTTGCTGTGACTGAGCATACTTTAAGCAATTGTGATTGATTTTTCGCAATAAGCGAGTTTGACGAGATTAATGTGTTGCGAAGCATCTTTCAGACGAGCTAAATAGAAAGACAAGTATAGGATCACTTATATAAAGGGTTACTAATATTCAAAGTTACTTTAATTACGTCTAAATCAGGTATTTTTAGGAAATAATTAATTTTTATATAACTTTGTTTTTCCTGCAGCAAACCCGAGCGACACACGATACTAATTTGGCTTTCCGAAAGAAGCATTCAATGCTTTAACAAGTTTATGACTAATATTCAATATCTTAGGGGCCGTTCACTTATTACGTTACGCAAAAAAACGACTTTTTTCACCCCCCCTCCCCTCCTTGTTACAACATGTTACAACTCACAACCCCCCCCCCCCCCCCCCCTTAACGTTCATAATTTATTTTAAAGAAAAAGGTGGAAAATTTAATTTACGTTTTTTAAAACGTTAAATACTTCTTGACACCCCCCCCTCCCTATGTTACATTTTGTTACAATTTTTCAAACCCCCCCCCCCTTAAAATGCGAACGTAATAAGTGAACGGCCCCTTATTGATACAACAAATTTTGAATCTTTGCATTTTCTTACCTGAAAGACATTCCTGAAATTTGCAGTTCGGGTTTGTTCAGTACTTTTCTCGCGATAAATTGACATTGCTGGGTTGCTGAATTCAAAAAATAAATTGAAAATTTATAAAAAATAATGGAAGGTGAGCATAAAAATTAATTTAATACAATAAATACACATCTAAAGCATTTAAAAATACTCGATCTAGTTGAATAACTACTTATATTACCGTAATAACACATTTGCAAACCACAAAACATCCAATTAAGGAGAAAATTTTAATCATTTTGTAAACGTTTTGACCCAAAATCGATTTTTTGTTGCCGATTCGTAGACATCCAGTAAATAATGATTTCAATACAAATTTCAGACATAGAATCACAAATAAAGGACATTCAGGAACGAAAACGAAAAGCACAGGCGGATGATGAGAAAAGTAAAGGAATTGGACTTTTAGATGCTGGATATTTCGATTCAGACATTTATGATGGGAATGGAACTCAAGGCAAGCAAAAATATGAAGGATATGTAACATCGATTGCAACAAATGAGGACGAAGATGAAGATGACGATGAACCAGTCAGAGCAAGTGATAAGAGAACAACTGGACTTGGAGCTCCTCTTGCTTTTTTCGCAGATATCGCTAGAGTAAGTAACTTAATTAAGTCTAAAATACTTATAAATTCTAATAAAATACTTTTATTGCAGAGCGAGCCAGAATATGATCCATTTGCTGATCGTAGACCAAAAACCGTTGGCGAGAAGGAAGATGAATACAGACAAAAGCGACGAAAGCTGGTCATATCACCAGAACGTGTTGATCCATTTGCTGATGGTAAGTCTCTTTTACTTCCTTTAATTGCTATCAATCCTTAGAACTTAAGACTATAACTTAGGCTTATTAATAAGCTTTGTATTAATGTTTCAAGTATGGTGAGAGAGTGAACATTTGAGACATGTTTGTATGATTATCAATTGATAGATTATAAGATTCATTTAGTCCGCAAATTTATTAATGCGAGTATAAACATTACCACAGGTTTACGGCAGGATCACAGCAATTTAGATGGGATAATTTAATCAAATAAAATGAAAATGGCCCATTGTTTAACGAGAGGTTATTAAAAACCATTAGAAATATTGATTTTTGGTCTAAAGTGGCAGTACAATGTTGACTATTACTATCCCTTTTATGACTTGCATACCTAACAGTCAAAATTATTGATTTAAAAGCCTTGATTTGTGCATTTTTCTTTGATTTCATTCAACATTGTAAGATTGTCTGTCTGTTTATATTCCAATGTTATTCTCACATTTCATGTTATTTTGTTTGTAAACGTTTCGAATGCATTGACTCGATTCAGCTTGTCTGATAAGCTACGACTACAAATGTTTTTCTGTGTACACAAATTTTTTTTTTATCTTAAATGACCCTTGAAAACAAGGAAAAATGCACAAGAGATCAGAATTAAAAAGTCTTATGCATCATAGAGCTATTCATTGTCCTTCCACTTTTGAATTGAGCGAATGATGATTGAATGTTGAACTTTACAAAACCATATTAATCGAACCAGATTTATTTTAGGCAATTATGTGGATGTGGAAGATGATGCAATGAACTGAATGAAATATTTGAAATCTTAATTTCTCTTCTATGTAATTAAAGAAAAAATCACATAAACATATTTTTCAAATATGATTTCAGTATTGCGATATATCCTCAATCTCTATCACGTACGTATTGTGGAGAAATTTTGAAATTTGATCAATAATATTTAATTTATTTTTCATTGCATTCTCGTTATTAGCAAATTTCAAAAATTTTCCTCTTTTTGTAGATTTTACGGCACTAATTTTAATGGAATTGCTTTTAATTTGAATCAAGTCATTAAAAGTTTCCATTTTCGTTGCCATAATTTGATGAAATTAATTTTTTTGTAGAAATTTTCAAGCATTTACTACATAAATTGTTCTGCTTCATACTTTTAGGTGGCAAAACTCCCGATGTTGCGTCAAGAACATACACAGAAATTATGCGTGAACAGCAACTTCGTGGCGAAGAAGCTGAATTGCGTAAAAAGATTCAGGAAAAGTCAAAAGATGGATCATTGAAAGTATCAAATGGCGATTCTAATCGTTCAGAACCAAAAAAGAGAGGTAGATGGGATCAGACAATAGACGAGCAATTTGTTCCAGCTAAAAAGTCAGCTACAGGATCAACTACGCCAACATGGGACACAGATGTAAGTCAATTAATCATTATTAAATCAATAAAATCACTAAATTACTCATTGTGTCAACAGAAAACTCCAGCTGATCATAGATGGGACGAAACTCCAGGACATAAAGGAAGTGAAACACCTGGAGCGACTCCTAGTGCAAGAATTTGGGATGCAACTCCTGCTGTATCAAGTCATTCGACGACTCCTGGACGTGGAGAGACTCCAGCTCAAGAAAAGTCTACAAGACGTAATCGTTGGGATGAAACACCAAGAACAGAACGTGAAACTCCTGGGCATAATAGTGGATGGATGGAAACTCCAAGAGCAGATAGAGGAGCCGCAGAAATGATTGATTCTACACCAGGAGCATCAAAAAGACGTTCTCGTTGGGACGAAACTCCATCTGGCGCTACCCCATCATCAATGACACCTTCTATGACTCCACATGCTTTAACCACGCCAAGTCATGCGACTCCATTATTGACTCCTAGTGGATCAACGCCAATTGGAGCAAAAGCTATGGCTATGGCAACTCCAACTCCTGGTCATTTAGCATCAATGACACCAGAACAACTTCAAGCATATCGTTGGGAAAAGGAAATTGATGAAAGAAATCGTCCATTTTCAGATGAGGAATTAGATTCACTATTTCCACCAGGCTATAAAGTTTTGCCTGTTCCAGCTGGTTATATTCCTATTCGTACACCAGCACGTAAATTACAAGCAACACCTACACCAATAGCTGGCACGCCAGCTGGATTTTTCATACAACAAGAAGATAAAAGTGCTGCAAAATTCAATGATAATCAGCCTAAAGGAAATTTACCATTTATGAAGCCAGAAGATGCACAATATTTTGATAAATTGCTTGTTGATGTCGATGAAGAATCACTTACACCAGAAGAACAGCGTGAAAGAAAAATCATGAAATTGTTGCTTAAAATTAAGAACGGAACTCCACCAATGAGAAAAGCAGCATTGCGTCAAATAACAGATAAGGCACGCGAATTCGGCGCTGGTCCATTATTTAATCAAATTTTACCATTGCTCATGTCACCGACACTTGAAGATCAAGAAAGACATTTACTGGTTAAAGTTATTGACAGAATTCTATACAAACTTGATGACTTGGTTCGTCCTTATGTCCACAAAATTTTGGTTGTTATTGAACCATTGTTGATTGACGAAGATTATTATGCTCGTGTTGAAGGACGTGAAATCATTTCAAACTTGGCAAAAGCAGCAGGTTTAGCCACTATGATCAGTACAATGAGACCAGATATTGATAATATTGATGAATATGTCAGAAATACTACAGCAAGAGCTTTTGCAGTCGTAGCTTCATCTCTGGGTATTCCATCACTTTTGCCGTTCTTAAAAGCTGTTTGTAAAAGTAAGAAATCATGGCAGGCACGACATACAGGTATAAAAATTGTCCAACAAATTGCTATTCTTATGGGATGCGCCATTTTACCACATTTAAAGTCATTGGTCGAAATTATTGAGCATGGATTAGTCGATGAACAGCAAAAAGTCCGAACTATTACTGCATTGGCTATAGCTGCTTTAGCTGAAGCTTCAACCCCATATGGAATTGAGAGTTTTGATTCCGTTTTAAAACCATTGTGGAAAGGTATTAGAACACATCGTGGTAAAGGTCTAGCTGCATTCCTTAAAGCTATTGGATATTTAATTCCATTGATGGATGCTGAATATGCCAATTATTATACACGTGAAGTCATGTTGATTTTAATTCGTGAATTTCAATCGCCTGACGAAGAAATGAAAAAGATTGTCTTGAAAGTCGTTAAGCAATGTTGTGCTACGGACGGTGTTGAAGCTCAATATATTAAGGAGGAGATTTTGCCTCACTTTTTCAAACATTTCTGGAATCATCGCATGGCATTAGATCGTCGTAATTATCGTCAATTGGTTGACACGACAGTCGAAATTGCCAATAAAGTTGGATCTTCTGAAATCATTAATCGTGTCGTTGACGATTTGAAAGATGAAAATGAACAGTATCGTAAAATGGTCATGGAAACAGTTGAGAAAATTATGGGAAATCTTGGTGCAGCAGATATTGATTCACGTCTTGAGGAACAACTTATTGATGGTATTTTATATGCTTTCCAAGAACAAACAACTGAGGATGTCGTTATGCTTAATGGATTCGGTACAATTGTCAATCAATTAAGTAAGAGAGTCAAGCCATATTTACCACAAATTTGTGGTACAATTCTCTGGAGATTAAACAATAAATCAGCAAAAGTTCGACAACAAGCAGCTGATCTTATATCCAGAATTGCAGTAGTCATGAAGACATGTCAAGAAGAAAAACTTATGGGACATTTAGGTGTTGTGCTGTATGAATATCTTGGAGAAGAATATCCAGAAGTTTTGGGTTCAATTCTTGGTGCGTTAAAGGCTATTGTAAATGTTATTGGAATGACTAAAATGACACCTCCAATTAAAGATCTTTTGCCAAGATTAACGCCCATTCTTAAGAATCGTCACGAAAAAGTACAAGAAAATTGCATTGATCTTGTTGGTCGTATTGCTGATCGTGGTCCTGAATATGTTTCAGCACGTGAATGGATGAGAATTTGTTTCGAATTATTGGAACTGCTTAAAGCACACAAAAAAGCAATCAGAAGAGCAACAGTCAATACATTCGGTTATATTGCAAAAGCTATTGGTCCACATGATGTTCTCGCGACTTTATTGAACAACTTGAAAGTACAGGAACGACAGAATCGCGTGTGTACAACAGTTGGTATTGCTATTGTCGGTGAAACATGTCGACCTTTCACCGTACTGCCTGCATTAATGAACGAATATCGTGTACCGGAATTGAATGTACAAAACGGTGTACTCAAATCATTGTCATTCCTTTTCGAGTATATCGGTGAAATGGGTAAAGATTATATATATGCAGTCGTTCCATTACTTGAAGATGCTCTTATGGATCGTGATTTAGTTCATCGACAGACTGCTTGCGCTGCAATCAAACATATGGCATTAGGTGTTTATGGCTTCGGTTGTGAAGATGCTCTTATACATTTATTAAACTATGTATGGCCGAATATCTTTGAAACATCACCACATTTAGTACAGGCATTTATGGACGCTGTTGAGGGATTACGCGTAGCACTCGGACCAATTAAAATCTTACAGTACACTTTACAGGGTCTCTTCCATCCGGCTAGAAAAGTTCGAGATGTTTATTGGAAAATTTACAATTCACTTTACATTGGAGCTCAAGATGCACTAATAGTTGGATATCCACGCATTGAAAATGATCCAAAAAATCAATATGTTCGATATGAACTAGACTACAATTTATAAGCTTTCTAATGTTATCTATTTTAATCATTTCGCATTTCATGTCTCGACGTTCCCTGTGTCCTTATTAATAAAAAAAAAAATCAAAACTACCGGATATGGAGCACGATGATATGATTTTAATATGTAAGAATCTTGATTATTGAGGAAATCCAATAAAATTTTATGATTTTAATTAAGTTTTTACTTTTTTAAAGTACATTTTAAGTTTGAATTTCAGTTTTTTGATGAAGTTTTAGCGTGGGAACTTTAACTTTATTCAAATTTAATTTTGTTAACAGTCCAGATCTTCCAAGAAGTTATAAAACGTAGATTCTGTAAGATGATCAACAAGAAGAGATTTGAAAGCTTATACGAAAAATCTTTAAAAAAAGGTGAAAGGAGTCACAACCGTTTAAACATCTCATTGTTTTCATATTGCACATTCTTTCCTTCTCATACCATCATTTTTGACCAAAAAGCGAGTCATCTCTCTTAACTTTCTGCAAAAAGAAATATTAATAGTAGCTGCAAAACTGAAATAATTCAGTATACATTTAGCAGTGACGGTGAAAGTACATAAAACATGAAATTACTTCGAGTTGCTTCTTTAATTCTCGTAGTTTGTGCTTCTTATTCCTTGTCAAGTGATTTCAAAAATGAAACTGACACAATTGACTCACAATGGCAACAATTTAAAGTAAGTGAATGCCATGCTAATATAATCGAAATTACATAGATTATCCAACTATTAAATAGATTGATTTTAAAAGAAATTATACAACCGATGAAGATTTAATGCGGCTTGAACTATTCAAAGAGACATTGGAGCAAATTAAAGAGCATAATAAGAAGTTTGAATTGGGTAAAGTTGATGTGCCAGCGACATTGAATGAATACTCCGATTGGACTGACGATGATAAAAGGAAGCTATTGGGATCACCTTTAAGGAGATAAACTCACGAATATCTTTATTGTCATAAGTGCATTTATAAAATCATCTGATTGAGGTATAATAAATCTTACAGTATTAATGTTAAATAATTCAATTATGTAATGAATTGCTTCGAAAGTAAAATCGACTTCGATTCTCAGAATCAGTTGCGCAAGCTTTAATTTCGTGAATTTTGAAATCAGATAAGCAGGTAATAAATAAGACAAACAGAATATTAAGGAGCTATGTTGCATGCTTAGTTTTGTAAATAAAATGTTTAATCAATCTCGAGCTTCCTAAAGCTACCAATAATTCCTCCGCTGGCGTATCCACTCTTTGACTTTATGTCATTATTGAAATCCAAGTGATTAACTGGAATCTTCAAACTATCGACAGAACATTCTAGATAATTCTGTGGATATAAAGCTTGATTGATTTTGATATTGTTGTAATTTGCAAAGAATTCCTTTTTGGAGAGGATGAGTTCCTTCCATTCATCTGAAACAAGAATAAAATTGTAGCAACTCATTTATAGATCTAAAATTCAACACAAACCTGTAATCGACTTCAAAGGAATCGTACCGCCATATTCAATAGGAATATTGTCCAATGGAACTATCCCAGACTCAGTTAAATTTGTTGAATAAAGCTTGACTCGTTTTCTTAATTTTTCTGGCATGTGCTTCATGAAGAATTTTATCAAAAACATTGCTGATGGATGAACATTGAGGAAATGGAAAGCTTTATGACGATTGAGGATTGTTTTTTCACAATTTTTGCCAATTTTGAACCACACGTCAATTGGAAAGATCATCAGCTGCTTAAGACTCGCTCCACTAAGATCAAAAATGTAGTTGAAACCTCGAATTTGATTCTCTTCGTCGTCTATAAGCAGTTCCAATAAAATAGTTGCTAATGACAAGAAAACATTTCCAATTTCGGGAATTGCAGGATCCATTAATTCCCATCTGATGTAAATTGTCAATCTTTTGTTTTCATCACGTTTTGGAAGTACTGTAATTAATCCTTTCTCCAACATCTCCATGACATGAGGCTTCAATGGATCAATGTTTGAATAAAAGTCATATCCATAAAGTCCTTCTCGGAATAAAAGTTGCCGTTCAATTGCTTCTTGAGCCAATGGAATGCTGAATTTCTTTACTCTGAGAACCTTTAATAAAGCCACGCTGTCTAAACGACACTTGATTATTCTTTGATTTTCCATCACCCAATCTCTTAATGCCTTTATGCTGTGCATTCGAATTTTCTCTGTTTCTCTGATTTCATTAGCTGCTACCTTTTGTAATTCATTGCTTAATGTGCATACATACTCATCGACAGGTGTGATTGACTTCGTTTGATACTGAAAACATCGAAATAAAGTTTGGTTTGGTGACTAGTTTTTTGGTTAAAAAGAACAAATCGAGAACCTGAATATGATTATTTTGGATTGGAAGAGATTCGCAATATATTTAAAAATTCTCAATCTCAGGTTCAAAATTTTACGTGATCGAACTCTAAAATATTTTCGTATAGTAAAAAGTCATTGACCAGACTTAAGCTTCGTTTTTCGGCTGTAGCTTCTTTTGTCAATGTAATTTACATGACCTTCAAAAAGAGATTTTTATGTAAAACTTGTTTTTGTCAAAGACAACTTCCTAAAGTTTTTGTTTGATTTTGCATTTATGCTTTTGTTTTTCTTGAAATCGGATATGTTGCAATATTTGAACTTTGATAGGAAATGCCCAAAAGTTTATTGTTTCTAGTTTAGCTTTTGGATGAATTAATTTTTGTAGATTTTGATCAATTGACTTTTGATGATAGAAAATGTCAATTAAAGTTTATTTTGAAAATCGCTTCTTAAACCTTAGAAGTACTGAAGCTCAAAGATGATTGTGTCCTGATCATTATCATAGATAGGTTCTTAAAAACTCAACTGATCACACGTGTGTAATCTTACATTTGATTTGATTAGCATAATTAATAAGATTTTCAACATGGTTAGCAGATCTTACTGTAGTTTGTGTGTCTATGATGTCTATTAATAATGAATTAATTTGAGAATGCAGATGAAAGTATGATCAGAGAGACTGAATACAGCAACTATAGTTGTTATTGCTGGTAACATACGATTGTCCTTGTTTATCAAGATAACGGAAACCAAACTGTTTTAGTCTGATAAGCTAAAGATTATTTAAACTTCCTTAAAATTTGAGTTCCCATCTAACAATCAGATTTTACATTTCCTTAATAAAAATCTCATTTCAATATCCAAAGAGACACTTCCTGCCATTAAATGATACTTCCTAATCCAAACCCAAAAGCCTTACCCTTTTCAAATCATTCGCCATGGCTTCAATCTTTTATCTTCCTTAAAATAACTGTCAACTATTCACAATATTTTTTCCTACAAGTGTGAACTCAATCAATGATCAGAAGCAACTGAAAGATGCCTATAAAAAATATATTTCAGAAAAGGTACGAAAAAATAAAATAAAAAGATCATTCTGGTTTTTGATGTAAAAAATTTGAATATTTATTGTTACATGTTAACAGGTTTTGGCTCAATCTGCACACTTTTACTGTCACAGATGATATTTTATCTATCATGATGACGATGCTAGTAAACATACAAGGTGATGATCAAAGTTATGTTGCTGCATTTACATAAATTTTTCAATGTCATTTGATGTCGCATCGTTGCTTGAATTTTTGTGATGACTGGGTCGCGGCATGAAAACTTTACTAATATTTTTGATCGATATTCTTTTGTTGCTAGACTCGACTTGATCATTGCTGTCGGAGCTTGTACAAACTGAATCTAAACTTCTGTAATAAGCATCAAAAAGCTGAACATCATCAAGAATTTGATTAGGAATAATTTTTGGTATAGGAATAGGAGGTGCTGATAATTTTCTAGGTGCAACATTATCAACATGTGGTAAATTCTTTTTGGCACGTAACATGACTTGTCGAATTGTGTGTCGTTGATTGCTGCTGTTTCTCGAGTGATTTACATTTTCATTGTTATCTGCTTTGTACGGTTCAGGTAAAGTGCTAATGTTCTCATACACGATGTCATTATCATAACAAACTGAGCTATTTGCATACACAACTGCATCATTCCAATGACTATATGCTGTGTCATTTCGATGATGTGATAGTCTTGATGACGCCAAACTAGCATTTGAGTTTTGTGATGATATTTTTGATGATGACCATGAGGAGGCTTTTGGGAATGGAATGAAGTAAACTAAGCACAAAGCAAAGATTTGAAGGAATTCAAGGAATTCATACATAAATTTGTATGCATCTTCCCATCTGCATAATCCAATTATTGATGAGAACAGACTTAAAATTATTGGTAATGTGAAAATTGATACTAGAACGATGAATATTTTGAGGAACAAGCTGTAATACAATAGAGTTCCCTGAGTCATAATTATCTTAATTGATTGATTCATAAAAATCCCAAATTGGATCTTAAATTTATTGAAAATACTCACAGCATGTGAATGTCATGTTGCTTTGACTGATGACTAAAGCAAAGAACGAAGAAAACAACAGCAACGACAAGAATGCATACCCTAACGACATCATAAATCCAATGAAAGTCACCATCAACAGCCCAGCATAACTTGTTTGAAAATATTTTCATAGCAAATGACCAAATAACGGTGCTTAAAATGCTCAATAACAATCCCATTGACATGAGCATGAACATCCCCCAATTCCCAGATGACCATTTTTTTACAATTTCTAGTAGCTTTAATGCCATCATTGATAAGCATGTATAGGACATGGTGCCTGTAAAATGTGTTAATGCGACAAGAGTTTTGCAGATTAAAGAATTCGCTGTCAATGTCATAGAATCATTATAAACCTGAAAATAATAAGACTATGAAAAGTGCTTAAAAGAATAAGACACAAAAGTTCATACCATGCTGACTAATGCCAATTTCAATATACTCCGAAGTGTAACGAAAATTATCAACGCAACAAGTGCTTTCATGTGTTTTCCATAGCACCAAATACACAATGTAAATGAAAGGATTGGCGGCAAACAGAAAATTAATGTTATGCTTAATATTATCAAATGCCACAATGTAAAATTTCTCAGACGTTCACTTTCATAGCACTGAGTGAAGTCATTCTTCGTCCAAGTTCCATTAGGCTGGCAAATTTTTTCATAAGAATCTGTAAAGGTATGGAAAGTTAGGCATTACGGGTTTGAATTTAAGGTTTTTGGGAATATCAAGGTTGTCTAGAACGGTCAGAGACACAGAATTGAATATACAGGCTTTTAAGATTCGAACCTTGCTTCCTGAATAGAAATTAATCTTTAACCTTGCAAATTCGAACCTTATAGCTGATCAGGTTGACTATGTCAGCTGAAACTCTAAGCTTAACAAGAAGTATCACTATGCCTTAAATATTCATCACAACGACTACTCACATTCACACTCTGAATCGTCATACTTCTTAATATAATGAGGACATGGCATCTTTACAAAATCTCCTGGATTAGTTTCCATAAAGCAACTAGTTCCATCCCAATGTGCATCGCATGTGCTGAAAAAATTTTCCCCCTGAAAATTGTTCATCATTTGATTGCAGCAATTCTCAGCATCATGACAACATTTGATCCATAAAGCGTACGTCTCATTTGACAATGAACTTTGAACCAATTCACTAATTGATGACGATCTATAGTCAAATGGAACGCATTGCTCTCGAATAACGAATCCGGGGACGGTAAAATTTAATGCATCATGCTCGACTAGGCAATAGACCTTTTGAAGACGATTCTTATCGGAGAAATTTTCATAGCACTTCCAATAAGCATTATTGTGAAAAACTTTTGGATTGAAGATTGCGTCGTTAAATTGACAGCCCTAAGAATTAATTTATTTAATTATTAGCACTTGAAATAACTTCATCTACACACCTTTCCATCACTAGCACATTCAGTTCGATTGATATTAATTAATAGTGCAATTATTAAATACAGATTATAATTCATTTTGACTTTTTACATCTTTTCATTAACTCAATTAACGCGCCAGCACTAAAAAAGTCAATTCTTCACTCATTGCAATCTAGATTCTAACTGATTCTCTTTATTCTATTTTTCTCACTTCATAAACTTTATTGTACGAATATAATTGATTTAAGTTGACGAAAATGATGATCAGGGGGGGAGTTGGGAATTATTTTAGGGGGGGGGTTAAATTAAAGTTCATACTTTAATCTCGAAGGTTAACCCAGATCCTCCTTACCTTATAAGCAATGCTTTTTGCCCCCCCCCCCCCTGACTTCACCCATATGAATGTTGTTGACAGTGCAAATATTATGAAATGTGAGGAGTTAAGGAGAAGTTTAGTTAAACTTTGATAATACTTGTGTTGTAAGCATAAACATTGCAGTTTCGTGAATGATCAAACAAATTAGTCATCAAACTGATTGAATTTTATTTCCAGTGATTCTCAATCTTTTCTTCTTTAGCAATAGCATCGGAATCTTAAAGATTGACAAGCTAGTTTGGTCAAGTTCTCATAATAACTAACGTCTTTATTGACACTTCATTCAATTTTGCATATATTAAATTACTACATACAGATGAGATATGGTTTGTAAAAAAAATTAAAAGCAAAAGATATTGCGGCTTGTAACTGTAAAAACCTACTTAAATGATAAAAGACATCGTTCGCTTGTCTTTCTTCAAAGCTAAAGGAATTGCCGCATGTAAATTTATAAGAAGTCAAAGATATATCCATTCAAGTAACAAATGACTCATAAAAAATTCTGGTTATATTCAAGGAAGTGATAATTAATAGACACGATCTTGATAGCTGTTATCTTGAGGTCTCGGTGGAACTTGACTCGTGGTTTGTTGCTGATAGCGATGCATCATTTGATTTGATCGTCGTGGTGGTGCAAGGAATTCAAAGTTACTTTGAGTCAATTGAGAGAGCATTTTTGTGAGGTCACTAGGCATTGGATCAGTCCAGAAGAAATCGTGGGATAAAGCATCATCAGCATTAATTCGTTTGTCAGGATTAAGAATTAGTAATTGGTCAAGGAGATCTACAGCAGAGGGATCTTTAACATAAGGCCTTAATCGCTCCTTAACTTTTCTCTTGTGATTCTGTGGAAGTTCCATTTTATGATAAAGTTCTAGTTTCTCTAATCCAGGCCACACATCAGGAGTAAATGATCCACACAACTGAGCACATAATGTTAATTGCTGTTGTTCTGTTGATCCTTGCATGATTGGTGATCTTGTCCACATTTCAGCCATAATACATCCAGCACCCCACATATCGACAGGAGCTCCATAGTTACGGTCACCAAGTAATAATTCTGGGGGTCTATACCATAAAGTTACTACTCTGTTTGTATATCGATTGGGCTGACCATTTTTCGATATGCTTATCGCTCGTGCAAGACCAAAATCTGCTAACTTTAGAATTCCTGTTTTTGTAATAAGGACATTTGCGGCTTTCATATCACGATGAAGGATCTACAGGATAAATTATTTTAGCCATTACTCCAAGTTCTTAAGACTTGAGAATTGGTAACAAACCTTATTAGAATGGATAAAGAAGAGACCGTTAAGCAGCTGCTTCATAACTTTCTTAATTTCACCTAAACTAAATTTAACATTAACATTAGACAGTAATCCAGCTAAATCATGTTCACAAAAGTCAAATACGAGATAAAATATTGATTTGTATTTGTTATTCTTGTTTGCTTTAGTTCTGCATATTTCTATCAGATTCACGACATTTTCATGTTTGAGAAGCTGCAAAATCCGTATTTCACGTAGAGCTGTAATTGGAAACTGGATGATGACAAATTAGGAAATTATTTTTATTGCCTGGCTTTAATTTAACTTACTCCTTCCTTTTCGTTTTCCATTAATACACGTTTCATAGCTACAAATTTGTTATCACTCTTGGATCTAGCCTTGAATACCTCACTAGAATAAATATATTACGATTATTCAAAAGATCCAGTGAGCAAGAATCTCAAAAATATTACTTACCCAAAAGTTCCCTGACCAATTTTGGCAACTTTTTCATACTTTGCAGATTCATCACAGAAAGGAAAGTTGTCTAAAATCATACAAATAAGCAATTTAGCTTATTTAAGACATTATTTACATTTTGATACTTACATTCTGAAATATATTTCAATCTTTGCTCTAAAGTAGCATATCCACTGGACATTTGAGCTGGTGCTGGTTGTGAGGCTTCTTGACGTGATTGTTGCGGTGGTTGTTGAGACATTTTAATATAAAATAATCAATTAAAACTGATGAAAACTTGTGAAAACTGATTTGTTATTATTTTCACAATAAAACTTTATTTTGAAGGAAAACTTTTTTTGAATTTTATTTTTCCGTTACACTTCAAACTTTGCAAATGTTTTGAACTTCTGTTTTGCACGTTAATAATTACACATCAACATCCTGGATATTTCACAATATCACAAAATTCACTTCAACTTTCTGTTTTTTATCACTTTTATTCACTGCTTTAATAGCTTCTTTTTCTAAAACCAAAACAAGATCACTGCACAACACAAACTGAGCTGATTGAAGAAAACATAATGTTTTTATAGATGATGATGGTGAAACTTCTGAGTTTATTAATTCTAATACATGTATGATGGGATGACTGTCTATCAGTATTAGAATATTTAAGTCTTTGACATGAAATCTAATAAATCTTCAAAAATGTAGTTTACGATTGTTTTCACCAGTTTTCACCTAATTCGTTCAAATCCCATTCAAAATGTTAAAGCCAACATACAAGAATCTAAAAGAAACTTTATAAAGACTCTGAAATTAGGGAAGGTGTTCAACAAAAGAATTAAACAATCATTAACATTAGCAAACTTAAAGAGCTGAAACATTTAAAAACGTGAATGAATCATCCAATTGAGCTGAATTGAAAAGAATTGTGATAGTTTTATTAAGGAAAAATGCAAAACTGATATAAACTATAAAAGCTAAAAAACGGCTTGAAGCTTCTTACAAAAGAATCTAAAAACTTTATTCAATTTCCATAAAATTTCCCTGTTACAAGTCACAACTTTCTTCAAATCAAACGTCTCCTTAAAAAACATATTTTCGATAAATTTTAATTTAAAAACTTTCTTTTTCTCTTCTTCAGAAGCTTTCCCGACAAAAAAAAAAATGAGATTCCAAGATAGAAACTTTTTCATGTCTCAAATACATTTCGAAAATAAGGAGTCAAAAGTTTCTCATTCGAAGTCAATAGTTTCAAATTAAAAATTTTCAAGTCACATCCAATCGGAATCAGAAAATAATGTTCTATGACATCACATAGCTTTGGTACCGAAAAAGAGAATCTAAAGTGACAATAATGGATGTAGAAAACTGAAGAATTGACGATACGTGAGTTGCATAAAATTCATCTAAGCTTTTTTTTCGGATTGCAGACAAAGTTGTGACGAAAAATGATTAAAAGAAAATTTTCTACGACTCTTGTGCTGTGAAATAAGGTCATACATGCTCAAAAAATAGCAATGCAATAAGAAAGATTAAGTTTTTGCTTAAAAATCCTTGTATATTGTCATCCAGCATCATTAAAGAAAAAGATAAAAGGAAGATCGTAAATGTTTAAAATGATAATGATTCTGATTGTTAAAAAAATGTCAATCAAATGACGTTGGATGAGACAATGTTTGTGAATTTCGATGTTTTATGATTTAGGAACATTAAAGCTGATTTCTTCCAAAATGTAAAGGTTCAAAAGACTTTTAAAAATTTTTGTTTAAATTCAATCTATTTTGGTTAAAGATTTGTTCGATCTAAAAAGATTTGATATTGAAAATAATTTATGAAAACTCTGAATTGAAGACTTAAACTGATAAAACATCTCTTTTTGAGTCACAGAGGTCAAAGTCCTAAATCATGCATTAGAACGCTGACACTTTCCAACTTCAAACTGCTTCAAACATCTTCTTAATTTCTCAATTTAATTTACAACTTTTTCAACTACTATTGTCATCTATTAGCCATCATTAAAGACCTTCACCTCTACTTAAAAACAGCAGAACTTTATCAAGGAGAACAAGAAGTTATTTAACCATAATTTCACTTATCCAACACTCTTTTTTGTCTTTGCAGAATTGAATTTATGATGTTGGAAATGGGAAAAATAAATTATGCAACTTAATGACATTCATGAGTTTTGTAGCGAAAATATGTAAGCTTATGCAGCCGTTGGGAACAATATGGTGAAGTTTTCCATGCCTTAAATTTGTTTCGCTTTTTTGGCTCATTTCAACAGCATTAAAATTCAAAGAAGAATCATGATGAACAGTATATTAGTGGTTGAAATTTTCTTGGCAAGCTTGAAGGTTTGGTGACACTTCATAAAATTAAAAAAAAAAGTTTTAGGGTGAGATAAGTCGGAAAGGGGTAAATTATTAAGTGGATGTGATTTGAGGAGGTTTTGATCAGTTGATCAACAACTTCTTAGATTATAGAATTTGAATACAGTTAAACTTTTAGATTTGGATTTAAACTTAAACTTTTAATTCTTGCTTTCAGAAACATGAAGTTTCCATCCCTTCCAACATGAAAAATCAAAGCTGGATTTGGAAAAAACCTTTTAATTATTTTTTTATTTGAATAAAAGGCAATTCCTTCATATTTAATCATATGCTCTAATATAACTCGAACTGATTTCTCTGACTTCTCTTTGGCACACGCATTGGGAAAAATACAAAGCATGCTGCATCGTCTCACCATAGGCAATCCTTTATTGAAAATTCTTCATCTCAATTTTATTCAAAAAATCTTCATGTATGATTCTTTCAATTATTTATTTTATGGGGACATTCAAGAGTGACGTCTGCAGATAAAAAATTACTAATCAGATTCTTTATGTTGTAGAATGTGCTATAACCTGTAATCCAAGTAATGGAAGATGCCATAGGTAACCGAAAGTCATTAACTTATTCCTCATAACCTCAAAAATCCTTCCGTAATAAACAAATGCTCCCACATCGATTGAAAGAAGAGTTGAACTGAGAATGATGAAGAGTAAATAGCTACGAGCGAGTTTATATGAAGGTCACACGAAATATTTGCTTACTTTCGTTGACATAAAAAATTTCACATTTGAATTTCAGATGAGTTTTATAACTTAATTAACTTTTTTTTCACTTTCAACCTTTACCAATCTTCATTGAATATTTTATGCAAGTTAGCGGCAATCATCAAATGAAATAAAGGTCCAATTTGCAGCTTCTCCTTAATTGCTTAATTAATTTCACGAAAAAAAAAAACTCGAATTTTCCATATTAAATGTTTATTCTCATAATACACGTGCATACATGCTGAAATAATTTCTTTGCAAATTTTTTTTCATTGACCTTTTGTTAGATTCCGTTGATGGTGCGGATGCCATTCACTGTCATACCCTTGTTAACGGCAATTAATTCAGCGAAAAGAAGAAGAACCGAATGTGTCACATCTTCATTATTGAATGAAATTTTCACTTCGGACTCGCAACTTGGTGTGAAAGATAATGAAGAGAAAAAAGGAAGGCTGACACTAAATTGAAAAGAGTTTTTAAAGTTTTGCCATTTTCCATCCTAAATTATGGTAATTATGTCCATAGGAAAAATTTTAAGTGAACAGTGGTCCTTGAGGTAGGAAAAGGTATTCAAGTAAAAGGTTTGGTGAGGAAATTGACTTAAAAAGAAGTAGCTATAAGTTATGATTGTTATTATTTTGCAAATTGAAGCTATTTGAAGGGAACTATAACAATATTATGTCTATATTCAGTCTCCCTGCAACATGTTGGGCTACGCTACGATTAAAATCCCTGCTTTATCCTTCAAAATCCAATCTCCATTTTTAACCTCATTAACACGAACCAAAGTTCCACAATAACATGTAATTAAAGGTAAGAGTAATTTTCTGACAGATTTGTGATAAAAAACTGAAATAAATTACATAAGTAAAATGGTCAGTCAGTTCTACAGCAAGAACAAATACACTAACAAATGGCATTAAGCACTACAGTCGTTTCATGCAACTTGTGAATTCAACACATGCTGACTACATGTCATATATTGCATGCAACAACAACTACGGCACTTCTAACATAGAAAAAAAAATGTCAGACGATCATGATGAGAAAGTTTAAATTGCTTTCTAACCGACATTGTGCATGCAAAGCTGGCAGTAATTAAGTCAGCAAATAATAGCAATTTTAATGTACACGAGGAGAATGAAAAGTAGAAAAAATTATGTTCACTTCCATAAAATTTTGTTAGATTCAAAAGCCACTTCAAATTGCGGCTACCCCAATTGCACTGGTGGCTTGTTGGAATAAAGAAAGAGTCCAATTAATTGGTAATGTGTGTAATTAAGTTAATTAATAACCACGACATTTATGGATTGCGATTGATTCAAAAAGAAATTTTAATCATGTGGATTTAGATTGCTTTTTTTACGTCCATCGACCACACATTTTGACATTTGTTTAAAAACCATAAGGGAGCCATATGAGGATGACGTCTATGATGCCTTCATAACGTGATAAATGGACATCAATCATAAATTTATTTTCCTTTTTTTTTGTTGTCTGCCGCTGCTGCTTGCTGCTGCTATGAGCAACAAAAATCAAAATTCTATTTGCGAGCGTGATTTGGAAAAATAAATAAAAAGCTACTTGTGTGGAAAATTGGACTCTTTTTGTGGTATCAGCAAGAACAATAAGGGTTGACTATAACTCATGGCGATAACAAGAGGCAATTAAAGTTAACAATATTGAATTTAATGAAACACCCAGCAATGAGTCATAAAAAATGAAGCTTGTTATTTTATTAATGAAATCATTGCTCTTTCCGTTTTGTTTGTCAAGCTTTACGTCCCATTCACTCCATTAGATGTAATATCGTAAAAATAGTAGGAAGAATGGGAATGAACAAGAGGAAAAGCGACTATAAAAATATCATAATGAATTCTTGAGACATAAGTGCATCATCAGATGGGATTTTTTTTCCACTATAGACTTTGAAGCATTTGTTATGCTCGTATATGAAAAAAATATTATATAGATATTAAGGAAGAGGCCAATAACACTGATGGTAAATGTGATAAAGATTTTTTTTCTTCATTCAAGCTCAAGACTATTTTTAAAACTAGAAATTGCACATTTTATTTGAGTTTTATGACTAGTTACAATTAAACGAGAGCAGGTTCGCCAAACTCAAGTATTAAACATATGGCAGTTCATTTCAACTGCCACAAACATAGAACTTACTTCCTTATTCACTACTAGCTACTCTCTTGCTATCCTGCTTTCTTTAAAGTCA